GTTTGTCGCGACGCCGTACTCCCCACCACATCCCCTATCGATCTATGGTTAGTGTAGTGCTGACGGGAAACACCGCCACCGCTACTCTCTGCCATCACCGGCCACCGTCATCATGGCCGGCACCGGGAGATCCTCGAGCCATAAGTGAAGGTAAGGCCACCGATGATCTGACCTACCCGATCCACAAGGTCTATCAGGTACTACTCGATGAAGAGTACTCGGTCATACCCAGTCCGGCAAAGCGATGTTTTCCAAGTCCTTTACATCGGATACTTGTCAAAAAAAGCAACCAAACGGGAAAGTGACGGACATGGACGCTCCATGTGGCAATGCTTTTCTAGAAGCAACTAGGGGCCAGCACGTGTACAGATGTTTGTAGAGTGCAGATGCCAGGGCACTCGACAAACATAACTTGGCAAAAAGGCTTACCATGGGCCCTGGAGAGGCTACCAGAGTGCCGTGCGCCACATGTCTCAGATGTCTGCCAATAGTTTGCAAAGGAGAATGTTAAAGGCTTACCGCCCAGTGTGTTCGGAGAACACACAATCAACATGGGTTTTATTGTATATTCTAAGATTTCTGGACAACAAAGGGCCCAAGGTTAAAGAATTTGTTTGAAAGCAGAAAGGTATGGTGTGCTTGTCTGGTTCCATCGGCAATTGAGCTGTGACGATGAAACATGTTCTATGTATTCATCTGTTATGAAACGAGTAAAGTATAAGTATAAGGTCAAAAGTAAAAGTTGAGGTCAAGGGGGAGAATGTTAAGATGATCTACACCATGTGGGCCCAACGGCCCACTGGGCCCTTAGATCAGCGCCCTGATCGGGGGCGCTCAACCCACTATGGTTGACGGGCCCCTGTCACTTGCACTATATAAAGAGGTGGGGGCCGCGGCTCACAACACGAGGTTTGCCGTGACGCCGTACTCCCCACCACATCCCCTACCGATCTAAGGTTACTGAAGTGCTGACGGGGAGCACCGCCACCGCTACTCTCTGCCATCACCGGCCACCGTCATCATGGCCGGCATCGGGAGATCCTCGAGCCACAAGTGAAGGTAAGACCACCGATGATCTAACCCACCCGATCCACAAGGTCTATCAGGTAATACTCGATGAAGTGTACTCGGTCATACCCGGTCCGGCAAAGCGATGTTTGCTGAGTCCTTTACATCGGATACTTGGCAAAAAGAAGCAACCAAACGGGAAAGTGACGGAGATGGACGCTCCATGTGGCAATGTTTTGCTAGAAGAAACTAGGGGCCACCACGTGTCCAGATGTTTGTAGAGTCCAGATGCCAGGGCACTCGGCAAAGATAACTTGGCAAAAAGGCTTACCATGGGCCCTGGAGGGGCTACCAGAGTGTCGTGCGCCACATGTCTTAGATGTCTGCCAACAGTTTGCAAAGGAGAATGTTAAAGGCTTATCGCCCAGTGTGTTCGGAGAAAGCACAGTCGACATGGGTTTTATGGTATAGTCTAAGATTTTTGGACAACAAAGGGCCCAAGGTTAAAGAATTTGTTTCAAAACAGAAAGGTATGTTGTGGTTGTCTGATTCCATCGGCAATTGAGCTGTGACGATGAAACATGTTCTATGTATTGATCTGTTATGAAACGAGTAAAGTATAAGTATAAGGTCAAAAGTAAAAGTTGAGATCAAGGGGGAGAATGTTAAGATGATCTCCAGCGTGTGGGCCCAACAGCCCACCGGGCCCTTAGATCCGCGCCCTTATCGGGGGCGCTCAACCCACTCTGGTTGACGGGCCCCTGTCACCTGTAGTATATAAAGAGGTGGGGGCCGTGGCTTGCAACACGAGGTTTGTCGCGACGCCGTACTCCCCACCACATCCCCTACCGATCTAGGGTTTGTGCAGTGCTGACGGGAAGCACCGCCACCGCTACTCTCTGCCATCACCGGACACCGTCATCATGGCCGGCACTGGAAGCTCCTCGAGCCACAAGTGAAGGTAAGACCACCGATGATCTGACCTACCCGATCCACAAGGTCTATCAGGTAATACTCGATGAAGAGTACTCGGTCATACCCGGTCCGGCAAAGCGATGTTTGCTGAGTCCTTTACATCGGATACTTGGCAAAAAAAGCAACCAAACGGGAAAGTGACGGAGATGGACGCTCCATGTGGCAATGCTTTGCTAGAAGCAACTAGGGGCCACCACGTGTCCAGATGTTTGTAGAATGCAGATGCCAGGCTCGGCAAAGATAACTTGGCAAAAAGGCTTACCATGGGCCCTGGAGGGGCTACCAGAGTGTCGTGCGCCACATGTCTCAGATGTCTGCCAACAGTTTGCAAAGGAGGCAACGCAGTCAAACCCCCCACCCTCCCGCCCTTTAACTATGGTGAGCAGGGAACATGTCGGCCATTACCGAGAGTTGATGTCTCGCCGAGTGTTCTCTTGCCGACACTTGGCAAAGGGCGAGCTTTGCCAAGTGCCGACACTTGGCAAAGGGCGAGCTTTGCCAAGTGCTTTTCTCTTCATTCGGTTTATGGGGGTCTTTAGAGTAAGTACAATAAGATGATGTAAGCAGGCTATAAGGATTTAAATAATATAATATTTGTGTTTAGTTGGAGGATAGAGAAGAGAAGTGGACTGTAAGCTTGTAGCCGGCTGTAACACGAGTTCCAACATACTTTGTGAGACAAAAAGTGGGCCGCATATTAATGATATAGTATACTAGTAGTACTAACTATTATACTAGCGGGCTATTAGGTTGTGTCTATGTGATGTGGCAACTACATATAGTCGGATGTTAGATATACTATTAACCATGCTCTTAACGAGTACCCGGGGTGATGCACTCGGCGTCAGCGCCATTCCAGTTGTGTTATACAGTATGTTATATTATTCCTAGGTCTCGGTGCACATATATAGAGAGTATTTTAGCACAGCTTTTGTTCACATTATTATCAAAACACAGGAATGTGACAACCATAGAGTTAGGTGCATAAGACATACTCCCTCAATCCATCTATATAAGGTCTAACCCCAAATTTCATTTTTCCATCTATATAAGGCCAAATGAGCTAACCGATGTGTCTCCCTTTTAATTGTCTTTTGCAAGTCGTGTGTGGCCCATTCCTCGTGAAAATTCGCTGGCCGCCACATTGATTTGCTTGCATGCATAGCGCCACCATATTTCCAACGGAGCAGCGAGCTCTAACTTTCAGCCAATGCATGCATCATTTGAGGAGTTATGATTGGGCATGCATGTAGAGAAGGGAAGAGATAAATTTGCATGCGAAGGATTAAGTGAGGGAGGCCAGCGGCTAGGCATTTAAAAGAGGCCGCGTGCAAGATTTACACGGGACTCAAAATTCGGTTGGTCAAATACTACTCCCAAAATCTGCTCCTCCTTCTGCGTACATGCCTTGGTACGAGAGATTCAGAAGTTAGGCCCTATATAGATGGAAGGAGGGAGTAGCATTTTCTGTAGGAATTGAGAACATGGGAATACGAGAAAAAAAACTGGATTTTCTTAGCGGCTTAGGTACATGCATTAGTGGTCATAGAAATAGTGAAAATTTTCAGTAGATTGAACCCAATGAATATTTTCTTCGGAATGGACTGGAATGTGAAGCCTATAGGAATTCCTATGACTGAAGACTCATAAGAAAGATTGCAAGGCACTCATCCTACAAAATCGCAATAAATTATGTTTAACCAAAGAGGGCTTTAAACTATAGCAAACGAATTGACAACAAGGACAAACTATGTAATATTAGTTTTTCAAAAGTATATTCTTAATTTCTAGAATGATGATGGTTCTTACCGTTACATGATGCGAATTGTTTTCCAGAACAAAACCGAGAAAATGTACTGGTCGCGGCTATGTAGCCACGTTCGCGTAACGGCGTAAGACCAAAACTATACAGCACAATTTTTGGAAACCTGAGGCAGCATTCCTATAGCGGCGACGTGAATGTTGGCTTGTCCCCGAGCCCGGCCGCTACGTTACGAAAGATATTACCGATGAGCGCTTGACTAGTACGCATGAAGCATCTTTCCTGCGGGTCTAGTTGCAAAGCTGGCGTGGAGGTTTTCGTCCGATTCCATGGGGGTATTTCGTGGACGTGCGGTGCAGTTTCGAGCAGTATCGCTCGGGACAAGGTTAGAAAGTTCCGCGCGCGTCCGTGTTGTTATGCTTGCCGCTCGGTGACTTGACTTCCATGGAATGGTCGACAAGTCCAGCAACCTAGTTGCAAAGCTGGTGTAGAGGTTTTCGTCCGCTCCGATCGGATAAATTCCTGGGCGTGCGGTGCACGTTCGTTCCAGCCGTGCCGCTCCGCTCTGCACTGTGTTGCTACTCTCGCGACGCCGTCGGCCCGCCGGCAAGAGGCGTTGGCTGAGATCGAAGGGTCCTTGCGCTTGTGGCCCACAAAAGGATGAGGCTCAACGGAAATCCCGTATAAATTCACCTCTACCCCCGTTGTTCATTGCACACACACAACCACACAGGCAAACCCTCAGCCACCTAGCTCAATGGCCGCCCATATCCCTATCTTCGCATTCATACTACTCTCAGCTGTTACAGCCTTTTCTCCTAGTCCGACCACCGGCAGCGGGAGCGGCACCGACCTTGCGGCGCTGCAGGCTTTTAAAGCCCAGCTCGCCGATCCTCTCCGCATCCTTGCCGGCAACTGGACCACTAGCACCTCTTTCTGTCATTGGATCGGTGTCTCGTGCAGCCAGCGCAGGCAACGCGTCACTGCTCTATCGTTCCACGGCATGCCTCTCGTTGGCTCTTTGGCACCTCATGTCGGTAACCTCTCTTTTCTCTCTGTCCTCAATCTCACCCGCACCAATCTCACGGGCTCCCTTCCACCTGAACTTGGTAGGCTACATCGTCTTAGGTACTAGTATATCGGTCTCTCAAGAAATAGCCTGTCAAATGCTATACCTACTTCCCTAGGGAACCTCACAAAGCTCGAGTACCTTGGTCTATCTCTAAACCAACTTTCAGGCCAACTCCCTTTTGAGATGTTGTCGCATATGCACAACCTTAAGGTCGTTGCTGTCGCCAAAAATTATTTGACTGGTCAAATTCCACCATATTTGTTCAATAACACGCCTTCCTTGACGGTCATCGATTTTGGAAATAACAACATGTCAGGTCCTATACCACACACCATTGCATCTTTATCCATGCTGGAGTACCTCAACCTACAAATTAATCAATTTTCCGGCCTAGTGCCACAGGCCATTTACAACATGTCTAGTCTACAAAACATTGTACTCGCCGGAAATAACTTAACTGGAATGTTTCCGGGGAATCAAAGTTTCGGCCTCCCAGTGTTGCAAATTTTTTCAATAGATAATAATAATTTTTTTGGTCAATTTCCGGTAGGGCTTGCATCATGCCAGTACCTGCAGGTAATTGATCTGGGTGAAAATTCTTTTGTGGATGTTGTTCCGACATGGTTAGCCAATTTGCCATACCTAGAACAACTATTCTTAGGTTTTAGTGGCCTTACTGGTTCAATCCCAACTGCTCTCAGCAATTTCACCAGTCTTACTGATCTAGATATATCCAACGGAAACCTCATAGGGGAGATTCCACCAGAATTAGGTCTTATGCATGAACTCTCGTATATGTACCTTGGAGGCAACAAATTGACAGGTAAAATTCCAGCTTCCCTTGGCAACCTATCCAATTTGTATTTCCTTTCTTTGGGAAGTAATCAATTGTCCGGTCAAGTACCAACAACAATTGGAGAAAATTCGGCTCTAAACACGCTTGATTTGACAAACAACAATTTAGAGGGAAATATAGACTTCTTATCAACTCTTTCCAAGTGCAGGGAACTCCAACTCCTTATGATACAGTCTAATTATTTCACAGGCGTCCTCCATGGCCATGTGGGGAACCTTAGTTCACAACTAATCACTTTTACTACGGGTGACAACAAGTTAACCGGTGGAATTCCAACAACAATTTCAAACTTAACTAACCTTCAACGGATAGATCTTAGTAACAACTTCTTCACCGAGCCAATCTCAGAATCCATCGGTATGTTGGAAAATCTGGTATTGCTTGATATTTCTCACAATGAAATGTTAGGCTCTATCCCAACACAAATAGGTATGCTTGGGAGTCTACAACGTTTGTTTCTCCAAGGAAACAAAATTTTAGGATCCATACCAAACAACTTTGGTAATCTAACTTTGTTAGAATACATCGACTTGTCCAGTAACAATTTAAGTTCCATGATACCCACGAGCTTTTTCCATCTAGATAAACTGATCAAACTAGACTTTTCTCAGAATTCCTTTGTCGGTGCACTACCAGCTGATGTTTCTGGTCTAAGACAAACCAATTACATGGACGTTGCTTCCAACTTCTTGATTGGAAGCATCCCAAATTCATTCGGACAACTTACTATGCTAACCTACCTAAATTTGTCACATAACTCTTTTGACAATTCAATTCCTTCCCCACTTGAAAAGCTAAAAAGTTTAGCATCATTAGACCTCTCATTTAATAATCTCTCTGGCACCATTCCCATGTTTCTTGCCAACTTTACCTACTTGACTACCTTGAACCTCTCATTCAATAGTCTAGAAGGCCAAATACCCGAGGGGGGTGTTTTCTCAAACCTCACCTCGGAATCTTTGGTTGGCAATGTTGGGCTATGTGGGAACACACGCCTAAGATTTCCGCCATGCCACAACAGATCCCCCACAAGTAAAAGACACTTGCTTCTGTTTCTACTCCCAATACTTGCATTAGCTTTTGGCGCCATAGCCATTTTTCTATTCCTATGGACTCGAAGGAAACTTAAGAGAGGAGATGACGAAACTTCTGTTGATCCACCTGATGTCATAGGACATCAGATTATCTCCTATCGTGAGCTCATTCGTGCCACCAATAATTTTAGTGAAGATATCATATTGGGGTCCGGAAGCTTTGGAAAAGTATTCAAGGGTCAATTGAGCAATGGTTTGGTTGTAGCGATAAAAGTTCTTGACATGCGGCTGGAGCAAGCCATCCAAAGTTTTGATGCCGAGTGTCAAGTGCTTCGCATGGTGCGACACCGTAATCTGATAAAGATAGTCAATACATGTTCCAACCTGGACTTCCGAGCACTGGTACTTCAGTACATGCCCAAAGGCAACTTAGAGATGCTCCTACACCAGTCTCAGAGTGCAGGGTGCTTGGGATTTCTTGACAGACTAAGCATCATGCTCGATGTATCGATGGCAATGAATTATCTACACCACGAGCACTACGAGTTGATATTGCATTGTGACCTTAAGCCTAGCAATGTGTTGTTTGATGAGGAGATGACAGCGCATGTGGCGGACTTTGGGATTGCAAGATTGCTTCTAGAGGACAACTCCATCATAAGTGCAAGCATGCCTGGAACAGTTGGGTACATGGCACCAGGTACTCAATTAGCTAGCACTTATTATCTTTATCAACCAAGCTGTTAATCATTGGTAAAATATATGGATTCACTAAAAACAACAAGGATAAGGCTTAATTTCCACTTATATTTTTCTTGAGCAGAGTACGGGTCACTTGGAAAAGCATCAAGGAAGAGTGATGTGTTTAGTTATGGAATCATGATCCTAGAAGTCTTCACTAGAAGGAGACCCACTGATGGCACATTCGGCGCACAACTAAACCTTAGGCCATGGGTTCACAATGCATTTCCCACAAAGCTTGTCCAGGTCATCGATGGCCAGCTACTACAAGACTCATCTCTTTCTAGTTGTGGCTTGGACAATGGTTTTATTGAGCCGGTATTTGAGCTAGGTTTGGTTTGTACTAGTGACTCACCTAACCAGAGGATGACTATGCATGATGTGGTCGTGGCGCTGAAGAAGATCAAAGCCGAATACACCAAACATGCAACAAAGATGCCACCTTATGCTACACAATGATCCCTCCCTCCTGTTTGCTTTCATCTCATCTATAACTATGTATTGACCAATGTATCCATTCTTGTGCATTTAGAACAACCATGTGTTTTTTTTGCGATGGGTAGGGAGGAATCATGCTTGTTCAGTTGTATTGTACACTTGTGATGTATAGTTGCTTAATCATGCCTTTCTTCCAGCCGCATTGCTATGCTTGCCGTGTGTGTGTTGCAAGGCTTGTCGCGTCTGTGTTGCTATGATTACCACCTACGTGTGGCACCCGACGAGTTATCTACTATCCATGGAATGGTCGGGATGTGTCGCTAGCTCATTCCAAAGATGGTATGGAGGCTTTCGTCTGCTCCGATCGGGTAAATTCCTGGGTGTGCGGTGCATTTTTTCCAGTCATGTTTCCCTGCTTCGCACACGGTTTCTATGCTCGCCGCGTCATACACCCACCGGCAAGGCTTTGACTGAGACCGAATGATCAATGCGCTTCTGACCTAAGTCATTAATGTATTACAACCTTCCGTTGTCCATCTACTTCATGTTGTATGGGTTGGAGGAACCTAGTGTTAGCTATTCTAGTCGCTGCAGTTTTTTCTTCAGTTAGTTTGTTTTTCGTCAGAAAATAATGTAGCTAGGCGCACGAGCTTGCGAGTTGTTGTGCGAGCCGCGCATGTAGGCGATCTGGGTACGATCGTTGCCCGATCGATCGGGGTGGTCAGCCACGAAACCCACTCGTGGGATGGCGCGAGTTTTAGGGATCGTGGCACTAGGACCGGGCCACTTCTTCTCTTTGTAACAGAATAAGTAGACGAGATCAAGATACAGAAAAGTCACAAGGTTGAACGTGACGCAAAACCTCCTGTCTCTCCTCTCTGTGTGTTTGGCGAGTTGAGAGAGATCGAGCGACTCTGACAATTGGTATCAGAGCCTGTTTCCGGCGATCCTGACGCCATGGCTGACACCGGAGTTCAGCCGAACCAGACGGCGGCGGCACCCCGCAACGACGGCGGGGATGGGAGCCGCTCGCGCACTCCACCACGGGGGCGCAGCCGTGGACGGAGCCGTGCACGGAGGGAGCGACAGGTGGTGATCCACCAGGCGGCGGCCACGGAGCGCGCGCCGCTCGTGCCCGGTGCGGGCACCACGTTCCCGACGCTAACGTCCACGAACTACATCGAGTGGTCCCTCATGATGAAGGTGCACCTGGAGTCTTGGGGGCTCTGGGACGCGATCCAAGGCAACGCACAGCACGTGCGCGACACAAGACGGCGCTCGGCGTTCTGTTCCGGGCCGTCCCCCCAGAAATGCTCGGTGTCCTCGTCGTCAAGGGAACGGCGAAGGAGGCCTGGGACACGATCAAGGTCATGCGCATGGGGGTGCACCGGGTGCGCGAGGCGACCGCGCAGCGACTGCGCGCGGAGTTCGAGCAGATCACCTTCCGCGACGGCGAGACTCTCGACTCCTTCGGCATGCGGATCACCACCCTAGTCAACCAGTTGCGTACGCTGGGGGACAACGTCGACGAGGTGCGCGTGATCCAGAAGATCCTTCGTGTCGTCCCCGCCCGCTACGCCCAGATCGCAGTCGCGATCGAGACGCTCCTTGACCTGACCACAATCTCGGTCGAGGAGCTGATCGGTCGACTGCGCACCGCAGAGGAGCGCTGTGGTGGCGGGGCGGCTCAGGCCAGCGGAGGCAGCCAGTTGCTCAGGACGGAGCAGCAGTGGGACGCGCGGCGCCGGGAGCGCGAGCAGGGCCAGGGGTCCGGCTCGAACGGCACCGGCAACGGGAACGGCAACGGGGGCGGCGGCAACCGCCGTCGTGGCAAGCCGCAGAACCAGAGGCGCGGCAACGACGCTCAAGGCCAAGGCGGCGGCAGCGGCCGCGACATGTCTAAGGTGAAGTGTTACAATTGCAATAAAAATGGCCACTTCTCCCATGATTGTACCGAGCCCCACCGGGAACGAAAGGGGGAGGCTCACCTGGCGCAAGGTGGGGCAGAGGAGAGCTCACTCCTCCTCGCGGCTGCGGACATGTGGGCCGCGGCCGAACCCACGCCGGAGCACGTACTGCTCAACGAAGAGCACTCCTAGGCGCGCGCAGCGGCAGACGGCCAGCGCTGCGATCTAGTTTGGTACCTCGACACGGGCGCCAGCAACCACATGTCGGGCCGGCGAGAGATCTTCTCGGCGCTGGACACCGGCGTCCGCGGCGCTGTGAAACTTGGGGACGGCTCGGCGGTCCAGATCGAGGGGAGAGGGACGATCCTCTTCCAATGCCGCAACGGTGAGCACTTGGTACTGTCAGATGTGTATTACATCCCAAAGCTCTGCAGCAACATCGTCAGCATCGAATAGTTGGACGAGCTCGCTTACGAGACCCACATAAGCTTCGGCGTGCTCCAACTCCGTGATCCTGGTGGGCGGCTCCTCGCGCGAGTGCATCGGAACCAGGGGAGGCTGTACGTGTTGCAGCTCACACCAGCCCAGCCAGTGTGCTTTGCGGCGCACACTGGAGAGGACGCATGACGCTGGCATGCGCGCTACGGCCACGTGAACTTCCGGGCTCTACGTCAACTTGCCCGGAACGAGCTGGTTCGCGGCCTCCCGCTCCTCGACGAGACGGATCGTGTCTGCGAAGCATGCCTCGCTGGCAAGCAGCGTCGGGCACCCTTCCCCCAGCAAGCTCTCCGCAGGGCCGGCGAGGTCCTTGAGCTGGTGCACGCGGATCTTTGTGGTCCGATCTCACCTCCAACGCCAGGAGGGAAGCGGTACTTCTTGTTGCTGGTAGATGACAAGAGCAGGCACATGTGGCTGTACTTGCTCGCGACCAAGGACGAGGCACAGCCCGCCCTGAAGCGGTTCCAGGCCATGACGGAGCTCGAGTCCGGGCGGCAGCTCAAGTCGCTGCGCACGGACCGCGGCGGGGAGTTCACCTCCGCCAGCCTCGGTGAGTACTACGCCGACCAGGGAGTCAAGCGCCAGCTCACGGCGCCCTACACGCCTCAACAGAACGGCGTAGTCGAGCGCCGGAACCAGACCATCGTGGGTATGGCGCGCAGCTTGTTGAAGACGAAGGGTGTGCCGGCGCGGTTCTAGGGGGAGGCCGTAACGACGGCGGTCTACCTCCTGAACAGGTCTACAACCAAGAGCGTGGCGGGATCGACCCCACACAAGGCTTGGTGCGGGCGGCGCCCAAACGTCGAGCACCTGCGCGTGTTCGGGAGCGTCGCGCATGTCAAGGTGACACGTCCAAACCTGTCGAAACTTGATGACAGGAGCACACCCATGGTATTCCTCGGCTACGAACCAGGATCGGCGGCTTATCGTGTCTACCACCCGCCGTCGAACCGTGTCCTGGCCTCGAGGGATGTCGTGTTCGACGAGGAGGCCGCATGGGACTGGTCTCAGGTCGCGGCGACAAGCAAGGAGCCACAGTGGGACACCTTCTCCGTCGAGCTCGAACCGGTGCCCGCCGAGGTGATCGGCGGCACCACATCTGGCGCAACCTCCCCTGAGGCACCGAGCTCTCCTACAACGCCGACATCGACGCGCACCAGTGCGCCCACGACGCAGCCCGCGACGCCGATCTGCGCCACACCAAGCCCAGACCGCTCGGGCGTGGAGTTCGTGTCTCCACCACCGGGGGCGTCTGTGCCGCCACCCGACAAGGAGGCGCCGCGGCGGTACCGCACGCTGGAGAACCTGTGGGACACCACTGAAGAAGGGACAGGTGATAACAGTCAGTACAGTTACCTGTGCCTCTTCGCAGGGGAGGAGCCAACCTCCTTCAACGAGGCGCAGAAGGAGGGAGGATGGAGGAACGCCATAAACAAGGAGATGCAGAGCATCGTCAACAACAACACATGGGAGCTGTGCGAGCTCCCGCCCGGGCACCGACCGATAGGCCTCAAGTGGGTCTACAAGCTCAAGAAGGACGCACACGCACGGTGGTGAAGCGCAAGGCGCGGCTGGTGGCAAAAGGATACGTCCAAGTCCAAGGAGTGGACTTCGAGGACGTGTTCGCTCCGGTGGCGCGCATGGACTCGGTGCGCGTACTGGTCGCGCTCGCCGCGCACCACGCGTGGCTGGTTCATCACATGGACGTCAAGTCCGCCTTCTTGAACGGGGACTTGCAGGAGGAGGTCTACGTCGTTCAGCCGCCCGGGTACGTTACCCCTGGCGAGGAAGGGAAGGTGATGCGCCTTCACAAGGCGCTGTACGGACTACGCCAAGCCCCGAGAGCTTGGAACGCCAAGTTGGACGAGAGTCTGCGCTCTCTGGGCTTTGAGCGTTGTCCCTCGGAGCACGCGGTCTACCGACGCGGGGAGGGCGACAAACTTCTGCTCGTCGGTGTGTACGTCGACGATCTTGTCATCACGGGCGCGGACAAGACGGAGATCGACGCGTTCAAGCACCAGATGACCGCGCTCTTCCACATGAGCGACCTTGGTGAGCTCAGCTATTACCTGGGCATTGAGGTGCGCCAGGAACGCGACCGCATCACGCTCTGCCAAGCAGCCTACGCGAAGAAGCTGCTGGAGCGCGCCGGGCTCGAGGACTGCAACCCCGGCAACGTGCCGATAGAAGCTCGGCTGAAATTGAGCAGAGACAGCAAGGAGAGGCCGGTGGACAGCTCGGAGTACCGCAGCATCATCGGAGGGTTGCGCTACCTCGTGCACACGAGGCCGGACATCTCTTTCGCCGTCGGCTACCTGAGCCACTTCATGGAGGCGCCGGCTTCAGACCACTACGCGGCTGTGAAGCGTCTGCTAAGGTATGTGGCAGGCACGCTGGACTATGGCTGTGCCTATGTCCGGGGCAAGGGCACACCGGAGCTGCTGGGGTACAGCGACGCGGATCATGCCGGCGACATCAGCGACAGGCGGAGCACAACGGGAGTGCTCTACTTCCTCGGCGGCAGCCCAGTGAGTTGGCAGTCGCAGAAACAAAGGGTGGTGGCACTCTCTTCATGTGAGGCGGAGTACGTGGCCGCCACCACCGCCGCTTGCCAAG